CCCTCTCTTTCCCTCAGGCTATATATTTCCGGGTCTTGCACTCTGTCCTCGCTCAGCATTGACGTTCGGATGTCCTGAGACCCGCCTAGCACCAGGGCGCCCCACGTCTGCTCCCTGAGGGCATAGGTTTCTATACGGCATTCCTGAACTCTTTGCACTAATGAGCCGGGGCCTTTTTCCCATCTCGTCGCTACACATATGGGGTCTTTTTCCGCTCTCCTGCTCCCCACGGTTAGTCCCTTTGGATGTCCGTGACAGTACTGGTAGATTAGCTGGGCTTCCGGGAGAATTCACAGCAGTGTGAATGTGTGTGTGTGTGTGTGTTTGAGTCTGCCCTGCGACGCACTGACGTCCAGTCCAGGGTGAGCCCTGCCTTGCCCCTGCTGCTTCCCGAGACAGGCTCTGGCTTCCCGGCGGCCCTGTACTGGATGAAGCAGTTAGCAAAAGGATGGATTAAGAGTGGAAACTTCAAGTCGAACATGAAGAGAATCCGAGCACTGGCTCAGATGCACTCACGCGCTCGCCAGGACGGGGTCCTAGGAGCCCGAGCACAAAGGGAGGATGCCTCACTGCGGAGAGATCTGGAGAGATGCGTGCACAGCCATGCACTGGGGCCATCATGAAGAGAGAGCTTCTCGGCATTCGGGCGATAAGAGCTCCGCGTGCATTGGCATGAAAAAGCTAGGAGCTTAGCAATTCACTTTGTACAGGATAAAAAGCAGATCCTTGGCACTTCCCAAAGGACAGCTCGTTTCCATTAAAAAGTCTGGAGATTTGGAAGTTTTCTGATGGTATTAGTGCAAGAAGCCTGTTTGCTGTGCTACCAAAGCTTGTAATGTGAATTCATTATTCCTGATCATGCTTTACAATATAACACTCCCCTGTGACTTCACTATTCAACACCACAGTGAACTTTCAGACGAATCCTTAGAGGACATTCTAATTCAAAAGGTTTTAGCTGAGTTGCAAGATGAGCAGGGCTGCAGGGCACCACCGTCAAAATCCAGACTGGGCCACTTGGAATGGTTTTAACAAAGCAGGCTGCGCAAGACTACTCACGCTGGACAGGGCACCTGCCACTGGCTGGCAGCGGTAGACTTGTGAAGAGAGCGAGCACCGCGCCTGATTCCGTGTCAGCAGCGGAGGTGCCTTTCTAACCACTGACATTGAAATTCACTTTCAGATGCAGAATGGCGGTAGGAGAGAGAGAATTTTCCGTCTTCGCGCCTTCGAGGACACGCCGGGGGTGTGTCTGATTCTCGCGGGTCGGCGTGATCGGGGGTGTGAATGGAGAAACCACCTGAACAAAAGGAACAGACCGCGTTGCGCGAATTCCTCGGGGACAATCACAGCAGCTACCACACCGTCTGCAAAACGAACCATGAGTTCAGTTCCCCACCCCCCCCCGCTACAAAGCTCTCGGCTGAAACCACGACAAGGTCTGTTCCCATGGGTCATGGGGCTCACACTCTCCACACCTGAAGGTGACGTTTTCAAAAATGGAGAAAAAAGCATAAAAGGAAGGGGGAACCTACAGCCCCTTAAAAGTCATAGATAAAAGGATCCTATTTCTTTCCGCTCGGTGTTAACAAAACGTATAAAAAAGTACAAAGCAAGGAAGTTAGACAAAGGTAAAGTACTTTATCAAAAAGCACAAAACCGCTGAGACAGTCTGATTTAAAGAAAATGCACTAAATTCACTGTGCTGTAAGAGTCCCTGCAGAGACACTTCAGTCCTTTGGTGACAAAGAGAAACATATCACACTGAGAGATCTCATTTAATACAAAAGCCTTTATTAATGAAACAAAAGTCTGACGGGTGAGACATCTTTTGTTTGCCATCATGACTCCAGAACTTTGAATGTCAGGGAGCCCTCAAACAGCAGGAGTCACCTTCTTAGCATTCAAATCTGCAATGTCATGCACTTTTGCAACTTATGTCGCAGTCCACAATAAATGTTAAATTCACACAGCAAACGGGCATACAGAGAGATACGACAGGGCCAAAAAGGTTTTACTGCCCTCTTGTGGTGCAGATATTGGCAGCCACTCGGTTTGTTTCATTCGCCTCATTCCTAATAACTATGCATGCAGTCTATACGGACGCAGTAGTGGTGCAGTAGTGAGTATTGCTGCCTCACAGGGGCTCTGGGTTCAATTGCAGACCTGGGGTGCTGTCTGTGTGGAGTTTGTATGCTCTTTTCCTCGTGGTGCTCTGCTTTCCTCCCAGAGTCCAGAGACATACTGGTAGTTTAACGGGCTAAGGGGAAAATCGGTTCTGCTGCCTGTGTCTGGGGGCCCTGCGATGGTCTAGTGTCCCATCCAGGTTGTATCCTGCCTGTCTGGGATCCCCCACGACCCTGAACTGGAAGAAGCGGATAGAAAATGGTTGGGCACTTGGATAAAATGGATGTAATTTATAAAGAACTGTCCATTCCGCTTTAATTATAGGAGGGGGTCCTCATAGGTGGCGTGCCTACTGGTTCTCCCACACCACTTGTAGCAGCAAAGTGGGCTTTTTTTAGAGGCCTCCCATCCCAGTACTAACCAAGCCCAGCCCCGTTCAGCCTGTGAGAAGCTTGTAAGACTACAAGGAGGGGATGAAAACCACTCTTAAAGGAGGCTTCATGAAGAATTTACACATTACGGGGGGACTTTTCTCCCAGGGGAGTAAATAAACCCAGGAGAAAAATAAATCCATTTTATATGGAAAACTAAACAAATTTTGGATTTCTCTTAAAAATTGGGCTATTTATTTTAAGAGCTATGTATCACATATAAGGCTTATATACAAAATAAAAAACAGTTTACAAACTGGGGCTTAAACTGCAGTTAGTATTTCTATATTTAGAATGCATTTTTATTGCTGAGATAAAAATTGAAGAACTACTGATACCTAGGCAGGAGAAACCTTTCAGTGTGAGGCTCCTTGTTGCTATACCAACTAGCACTGTTCAGATTAGAACCTCACATTTTCCTCTAAGTGTATGATTCCTCCACTCAACTTCTTGTTGAAACTGTTTCCTAGAGCCTACAAAGTCATTTATGGTTCCAGTCTTTTTTCAGAAAAAAAGATCTTGTTTTACACATTTCAGAAAGAGGCCGAGGCACGTCAGCCTGTAGGTAGTCTTGTCCAGCTTCCGAAAGAAGACAGAGACACAGAGCAGGAAGAGCAATGGGCATGTGCTGAAAGGGGGGCATCCATATGCACATTTCTGCTCTTGAAAAATGTACTCAGGGGGCCACAGATTGTCTAAATGGAGAAAAAAAGAACCCTGAATTCTTGAAGAGGAGACCACCAGTTTGTCCGTGACCAATTCATCACTGATGGGGAGTTTGATAGGGAGAGTGATGATTACATCTGCACTATCATCCATCATTTCCCTCTTCCGTGAGGAAACAGAAGCCCTCCTATCACAGTAGGCCTAATTACTTTTATTAAACTATGTGTGGAGTCTATGTCAAATTCCACTACCCAGCAGAGCAACCCTCTGCCCCGTTAGTTGAGTGCGACTATTCTAAAAATGCTGTGGCACACCCTTGCAGAGCGCAGAGCCTGTGCCCCGAGTCCTCAGACTGCCAACAGCGAGCCCTACAGAGGTGACACACCTGTGATGACCTCAGAAGTCAAAGACGCTTATACCACATATAATAAGGGGTTCCAGCCACAGTTCCTAGCGTCCTAGGTTTTTATTCTGATCCGAGCTTCCAATTAAACAATTAAACAAATGTTTTTCTTGGGTCTACACATATAGGATTCTTTTAAAGGTCTTATAAATCTGATTTCAATGAAATATTCATTTCATTAAAATGGTGAGCCACGTTTCTATGACAAAATATCACAATCGTGGATTTAATTTAGCAATTAGATCTACAGCGGAAACAGGAGACGTCAGACTACAGAAGTGGAGACCAGTGAGAGGCCAGGTTTCTGCCTGATGCCCTGGTAGTTAGAGCAAGTATGGGATTTTTTTCCCACGTTCACTCTTCCTGGTTCCCGGAGGATTCAGGAGGAACCCCCTGCCGTCTGTTCCAAATCCAGATCCTCTAAAACTGACCTGCTTCCCTGAATAAAACATTTCCACCTTCTTGAGAAGCTGCAATAATAATAATACAGGTAAAACATTGAGCTATACACTATTTTCTGACAGCCTAAATGTTTAGTTATTTTTCTTTTCATACGAAATTAAGAATCTGTTGCCTTTTTCCAGGTAGTTTTACGTTCTTTAACTTCCTACAGGTAAATAGGAACTCGTATCTGATGAAAGAGTTCCCTCTAGTGGACACTGTGCTGTATTAAGGCTCGTTTACTTCTTGAATTTGCCTGGGTGAGCTATTTGTGCAGTTTCACTGAACCGTCAAACTGTCACAGCAGCTGCTACAGTGAAGACGGATCGCAGTGAGAAAAGAGATTAATGTTGCAATAACTCTGATGTTTGATAATTGATTAAACTCTAATGATTAAGGCTGGCTAGTAGCCAGTTCTTATCCCGTGTCTGGTAGAGGAATACTATTCCATTAGGCCCCTGAGCAAAGCCCTTAACCCCAGCTGCTCCAGGGGCGCTGTATAAATGGCTGACCCTGCGCTCAGACCCCCAGCTTCTCTCCCTGTCTGAGTGTCTCATGGAGAACAAGCTGGGGTATGTGAAAAGACAAAGACAATCTTTACCCTGTCTTTCTCACACCTGAAGAAGGCTCCACAGCTGAAATATTGTGTTTCCTTTCTTCTCTTTTCAGCAGGGAATAAACCTTTTACTTGTTGCTTTGCAGCCTACGCATGCTGACGCAGCCACCCACTTGAACTAAATTCCTAATACAAGAAATGGTATCCGTGTATTGTGTATTGGCCAATAAAGTGATCTTATCTTATCACTCTGTTCTCCACCCCACTGGTGTGTGGGGGGCGTACTGGCGCACTCTGGCTGCTGTAGCATCATCCAGGTGGGGCCGCACATTGGTGGTGGTGGAAGGGATCCCCATTACCTGTAAAGTGCTTTGAGTGGAGTGTCCATATACAAATCTGAGGAATTATTATTATTGCCGTTGTTATTGTAGCGCCACGCCTGGGGACGGGACTATGGGACGGTATATAGTGGGGCGGAGGCTGGGAGACAGCCTCTTCCCTTCGTGTCTATGTGTTAGTGAAGGTGGAGCGCTGTAACCCCTGTCCCTGTGTGTGTACCTTTCCCCGGTTCGAGTTAATAAATGTGTTGTTCGACCCCGTTCCCTGAGTCCCATGCCTGCTCCATTCCGCCCCGAAGCCCGCGGTCGTTACAGAAATTAAACCTCTGCCGCGTGGCGCGTAGTTTCCTATTTTGCTGTGCATTTTATGTTTATATTTTTAACACTGCTCACAGTAAAGACATGCACCAGACGCGGCTTCGGGTAATCAAGTATTTACAGTCTTAAAAGTTAAAAGACCCAACGGACTCTCTCTCTCTCTCTCTCATGTATTCTTACTATACAGACAGACGTAAATATTAATGAATATAGTAGTCTTAATAGGAAACGGGTATACAGTGTGTAGTGGTAAATATTATTATCCTTGTATTCCGTGTATATAATTTAACCATTACCATTAATCGTCATACAATGCATTACTCACGCACAGCCTTCGTATCCACATGCCTCACTATGACTAAGGCAATGACAATTGCCCTCTTGTTCTGTAGGTGCTTAACTGATACCGAGTTTCAGGTTCCAGCCTTCCCTTTCTGGGTTTTTAAATCTCATTTCCTGAGTTTCTTGCTCGATTCGCCTCACATCGGAGAACCAAATTAACGAATAATCCCGGGAAAATCGAATGGATGAACTGAAATGATTCGTTCCGGGCGAACAGATTGACTAATTGTGTGATCATCGCCGCGCCGCTCGACTATTTCCAGTCTGCCCTGGCTTTTCTCTCTTGTGACTCCATTTAAATACCAGATGGGCAAGCCAGCATCGTCAGGAGAAGTTCGCAACAGAAGCATATGTACTAAAACCCTGTTGCATTTCGATTTCCCTTCATCTAACTTTACGGTGTTTTTGTTTTTACTTTTCGTCTTTGCCAAGTTCAAACAGGAACAGCCTCAATCCACACCTGTTTGTAGTTTGGTTTCCTTCGTCGGAAATAACAGTACAGGAATGTTTTTTTTTTTTCGGTTTGATTTTCAGGATGAATGGATCTGGGCTAGAATGGATTATTTTCACAGAAGAACCGAGGCACCACAGCTTGATGTGAACGATAGAACTTAATTTTGTTAATGTACTATCAATGCTTTGTAGCTTTAAAACAAAGTTACACAAGTTTTGAGCGGTCTAGTTTTCCGTTTACATCGAACATCGTACTTAGTTAAAAAAGGCAGAAAGTTGAACTACAGTATTCATTTTTGAAGTGGAATTTACTGCATTCCAATATTAAAAAAAGTCGTGAACAGCTTCGTTGGACGGACTGCAGACCGTGGCGAGAGAGATACCGAATCTGTTTCACATCTACTGTAACTTCCACATCCGAGATGCGCTCTGTCGCGGTCCTCGTCCTGCTGATCGGGATCACAGGTGAGAATGTCTGTTTTGTAATACAAGAGAAGGGTTTCGCAGCGCATTAAACACAATCCAAAGGGCGAACACTGGCAAGGACTTGACGCGACAACAACGAGGCTCCTTTGTGTTCGCAGAAGGCTGTACAGCAGATGGTTTCGCTAAAGAGACTTCCTAAAACGAGCCCTTTATTGAATTTGATGGTACATAAGGTATTAGAAAGTTCCAGCCTTGGGGCTCGATTTTAAAACTTTTTCTACCTCAAAAGCCAATCTTGTGGGTTTCTGTTTCGACATCACGGCAAAAATCCGGCCTTGGGTGTATTTAATATTCTTTATTGCAGGATCGGTACTGCTTAAACCCGTCACTGGCGAGGAAACTTGTGCTTCCTTAAATCCGATTTGCTAGCGCAGTGCCACGGCCTTTTTTTTTTTTTTTTTTGCTGAATACCTTAAAACAGCCTAGATAGAGACAGAATATCTGTGAGCCAAGGTCTCAGGAGCTTTCTAGTCAAATTACTGGTGAACACAACTTCAAATCTGTCATTGGCGTCAGTATTTTTATTGGATTTTTTCCCCCATCCATTTTATAGGCCTCTTGAAAAAAAACATGTATTGAAAGTTGTGTTGTGTTTTGTGTAACAGTGGCACCATTATAATATAAAGACTTATGTCTATGTGTGAGCATCAACCAGCGTTTTCTATTAGTAGAACAACTTGCTGTTATTAATACAACACTTTGGGTGAGAATAGGCCAGCTTTTTTTAGAAATCTTTAATCCACATTGTTCGTGACCTTTAAATATGGAAACAAAGCAACTTTGGGTAACTGTATCCGCGTGGCCAGAATTAAGTGCTGCAGTACATATTCCATCACACTCACCAGCCACGTCTACTTGAGTCATTGTCAACTGTTTTTCTGTCAGTATTATTGAGTTTTTGTCTCTATATCCAGGAAGCTACAAGGCCACATGCTGTTTTGCGCAATCTAGATTATGTCAGGATTAATTGTTATAGTAAAATGAAATGGCTGGAGAATTTTGAGGAAGAATTGGGTCTCTATAAAGAACAAAACACATTTAGTAATCCAAAATATCTGAGACCTTAGCAGAGCAGTCTATATATAGTTCATGCTGGGAACTATCTCTGTGAAGAAGTAAAATAACACCATTATAACAAATTACTGCTGAGTTTAAGATCTCAGTGACCACTGAAATAAAGCTGACAGATATCTGTTGCTGTGTATCCATTGTCTTCACAAAGCAGCCTTGTCCTGCACTTGAACTCTGGCATACTTTGAATTTGCTGAGGGAATTCTTACAAAAACAGCCTTCGCAACCTTAAAAGTCTGCTTTGTAATTCTGGTCAACACATTGATCCATACGATACAAATATACCATCTGACACCCTCGGCTCTTAAACCCTTCCTTATGTCCAAACTCCTGTGATCCTCATTTTCCATACCCTTATCCTCAAGTCTCTTTTGTAAACATTACAGGGTACGTCATGGTTAAAACAGTCAAACCCATCGGCAGTGGTGACTATACCATATTGAATCATCACAAAGCAAGTACATAATAAATCATTCAGGGTTCCTGTCTGTTGCAGTTAAAACCACATTCTTTAGATATACATGGTATTGTAGAATTTGCATGCAGTTGAACTGCTAAGATTAAATTTCAGTCTTGACTTTACAACCCTTATTGAAATGAGACGTGGGAGGGTTTTTCTCACTGACTGTGGGACACAGACAGCCACTGTTATTTGAGGGGACAAAGTGGTGCAGTGTTATTATATAGGACTTGGTAGTTCATCAAATTTAAGACAGGTACACTAAGTCTTCTGTTTTTTATATAATTTGGTCTGGGTAAAAAAAAAAACTACTGGTACAGCTTATTGGCATGTAATACCAAAGACTGGATACAAATGTAAATATGTAACTACAAATGTTTAACCTATAATGAAGACTATCTAGCGAATATATACCAATATTGGCTTGCAAGTCTTCATTATTGTAAATCAAACAAATCTAAAAACGTCCTCTAGTTTGTGTTTCATTGTTCACTGTGTTGGTTTTGCCAGCGTCTTTCCGACTCTGAATGCTTGCATCAGGTTCCCTCATAGTCTTCTCTGTTCAGGACAGGGTTCAGTCCCTTCAGCCTGTCAGTGTGGGATATCTCCTTTCAGCCCCCCGAAATGTGTCCTGTTGGTTTTCGCTGGATTGATTCCAGAGCAGCCATATCTTTTCTATAAACATTGTGACCAAAACAGTGCACGATGTTCTAAATGAGGCCTTGCTAGTGTTTTTTCCCCCTCCAAGCGTTATCTGGATCCCATGTGAATTGTCCCTCAAAATATTCAGATGGAGCCCAACGCTACCGTCAGCAGACACAGACCCCTTATGAACCAGGACCCTTAGAACAGAGAGGGACTCTGTCTCGCGAAGGGTTCATGTCCTCTTTCTGATTCCTGTCTGGTCTGTAAAGCATGACCTCTTTGAGCAGATGTGGTCTGTTTGGCCTGAGCCTTTTCCTCTTGACTCACGTCCTGTGTTCTCCCGTCTTGGTGCTCCTTACCCAGGGGCCTTTGAGGTTCTGGCACCGCAGGGGCGCGTGCTGGCGGTGTACGGCCGGCCGGCGGTGCTGGGCTGCCGCTACTCTGTGGACCCGGAGTCCCCGCTGGACCGGCTGGTCCTGACCTGGCAGCGGGAGGACAACGCGGACGTGCTGCACAGCTTCTACTACGGGGAGGACCAGCTGGAGAGGCAGAGCCCGCGCTACCGGAACCGGACCAGCCTCTTCGCGTCCGAGCTGCTGAGTGGAAACGCCTCGCTGCGCCTGGACCCCGTCAGGCCGCAGGACGTGGGGACCTACCTGTGTTTCGTGAGCAACCTCGGGGGAACGGGCAAGGCAGCTGTCCACCTGAGCTTTGCAGGTACAGGGTGTGGTCATATAACACGCTAAAGACGGCAGATCCCAAGGCACCTCCCTTTCCCACGACTTCCCCACAGGGGTTACAAGGATGGTGCAACCCTTGAGATAAAAGTGAGATATAAAATTTTAATCCATTATAATGCAGATAATAGCATGAGTCAGCCACGTTACAAACAGTTATTCATTCCCAGAACCAAAAATCCCCTAAAAAGGGAGCCAATGTCCTCAATTCAGAGGACAGAAACACTTAGCAGCTTGGTTTCAGACTGATGTGCCGTGATGGCAATAACTTCCAGAAAATGCAGTAACCTGCATGATTTCCTTTACTGAGCATAACATTTGTCCATGAACGTCAAGAGTTGACTGTGTAAACAGACTGGCTAGTCTGGACCTGTGTGCTTCTTGTCTTGATGATTATATTACAGCACCTCAAGACCTTTTTGTGTCAGACAGTCCTGTTTGCCACTTATCTTTCTTTCTGCTTGAGTATTCTTCTTCGCTTGCATTCATATGAAGAAAGGAGGAGCAATTTTTTTTTTTGGCAGTAATTCATAACAGAGGAAAACAAAACAGGCTATTTTAAAGTCTTGGCACTACACAGTGCTTGAAACACCAGAGGCTCGTCTCAGGCTCTCCTCTTACTGACGGAAACCTTCTTGATTGTGCTAAAAAAAACCAGCTGGATGTGGTGGTAGATTGGATGCACTGTAAAGTGTTAGAAACTTAGATGACCGGATGAGAGAAGCAGTTGAGAGCTGAGCTTGAAGAGAAAGAGGCCTCGAGCCATGTGGCACTTCTCGTTGTGCTTTTAACCCTTATCTCGCTGTCTCGCAGGCTACTACACAGAACCTCGCCTCAGCATTGAGCTCCGCTCCACCTCTGCCACTTTCCTGTACGAGAGTGAGGGGTTCCCGGAGCCACTGGTGAACTGGCAGAACTGGGAGGGCAGAAACATTTCTCACTTCACAGAGGTCGTCCAGCAGCCCAGCGAGGACGGACTGTTCTCTCTGAGAAGTCAGATTGAGGTGGACTCTGCTGCAGGGGCGAATTACACCTTCATCCTGGAGAATCAAATTCTCAGTCAGGTCATCACAAGGAATGTGTGCTTAAGAACAGGTAAATAAACTGCACAAAGTGATGCTCCATCCTGATTTCCTTTAGTTATTCTCTTTGGATTCATGCAGAAAAGGAAAGGCTATTTCAAATGGGGAACACAAAAAAGAAAATGACTTCTTTGTTTTCTTCTAGATGTGGATAGAAACGGCACGCCCTGCAGGAGGGAAAGATGGACAGTTCTCGCCCCCCTTTCAGTGGCTCTACTTTTATATTTTGGATGCTTTTTCGTTTTCCACTGGATGAGAAAAAAATAATAACTTCTCTTTCGTTAAATCCCAAAAAAGCAAACTGCACATTGGTTTTTTTCTGAGAGTTGCTGAAAAACACCACGGATATCTGGTTCCCTTTTCTATTTATGGCCTTTTTAAAATGCCAGAAGTTTACATCCCGTCAGCCAGTGATCCCTGCCATGGACTCGCCCTGCTGAGGATTGACTCCTTGTTCCATGGGATTCCTGACTTTCTGATATCAATCTCAATATTTATTCTGTGATACACCCAAGACCTAGGTGGGGTTTGCACTGGGATTTCAGACACATTTCTGTTTTATCTGGAAAACCTACGCGACTAAACAGCCCACAGCTAATTTTGGGACTCACTGCTCATTTCCGAATGAAACGGCACTAATGGTGATCCCTTTCAACAGTGCTGCTACATGAGCAGCCTGAGAGAAGCGTTTGCAGATTCCAGAAAGATTCTGTCAACTGAATGTGGAGGAGACCGGGATACCCCTCACGCCACAAAGATTTCTCTATGTCTATGTACTGTACCTCTTTACATGAAGGGTTTAATGAAGATTCCCTAATCCTAGCATTGCTTTTTCTAAAACAAATTAACATGCAAACTGCATCAGGTCACAACTCGCACAGTTTAACTAACAGAGGCCGTGCACTCATAAATCCTTCTTGGTTACTGTTACTACTGTGTTTTATGTACATTACAGTAGGTCATCGATTTTTCAAGGATCGGTAAATATCGGTAAATGTGATCATCACATTTTTCGACAGATGTTGGGTTTTTTTTTTTCGTGACATAACAATGTTCCCTGACAAGTACAGTACACAATGTTTACATACTGTACAGTGCCGTATTCCACATTAAGCCAGCCCCGTCCACAGAGCTCCTGACCCACACATTGGAAACGCAATCTCCTGCCTGTCCGCGGCACAGCTGAGACCTCTCCACGGCCCACAGCTCGGGATGAACGGGCACTCACCCAGGCTCAGGGGGGCTTAACGCATGGGGATTCGATGGGGTCAAGAGGAATGCTTGGGAGGAAAACATTGGGAGGGTTCATCTTCCTCCTTCTGACACAAGGCATCGAGTCATTGTCAGACACACAAAGCCTGGTTTTAAAACATGGAAGGCACCTGTTTTAATTGAGTAATCTAGAGAGATTTTCTTCTGCAGCTTAAGGCATTACAGCACCGAGTTTTAGAACCAAAATATCTGTTTTTTTGGATTTGTTCCTGCTGAACCATGTTTTCTAGTCCGCGTGATTACTATTTTTTAACCCATCGTTTTTAAGGGCAGAAAGCATGCATTACACTTGTTTAAATTATTTTCTAAGTACTTACACTTTAATGTATTTTTTCTAATAAAAAAACAAAACCCTTTCTTTGTGACAGAAAATATTTTATTCCCTGCTTCTAGACATTCAGTGCTATACTGAAGGAGACAACGTGTGGTCTAGTAAGAATTGCATTTGAAGGATGAATTAAAATAGACCACTCAAGGCATCCAGGCAGTATCTGTGCATAGCAAATACAGTTATGGATTACACTGAAGGACAAGGCTGTTGTGTTCAAGGTATACAGTTGTTCCCCAGATAACGAAGAGGTGAAGGTTTTTCCCATGATGAAAGTGTGCAGGAGAAGATAACCCTGAGGACACAGAAATGTGGAAAACTTTTATACTTTATTCACTGCTGCTTGCAGCTGTTGTAAGATAAGATAAGACAAGACCATTTTATATACAATTTCTTGCATTAGGAATTTGTCTTTTCACAGACCCCAGCTTGCTCTCCATGAGACACTCAGACAGGGAGAGAAGCTTGGGGTCAGAGCGCAGGGTCAGCCATTTATATGGCACCCCTGGAGCAGATGGGGTTAATGGCCTTGCTCAAGGTCCTAACGGAGTAGGATTCCTCTGCCAGCTGTGGGATATGAACCAGCAGCTTTCCAGCCACAGGCACAGATCCTTGGCCACAGAGCCACCGCTCTGCCTGTAGAGCCTGTTGGACTCTCTTTCAACTCGCAGGCTTCTCTTGGAGAGATTACCACACCTCAGCTCCTAAAGAAAATCTACACACAGTAACACAGCTGGTGGCCCAACAGCCTGAAGTCCAGACGCATTAAATCAGAATTTATTTGACCTTTCTCTTAACAAATGAGCAAACATTCTGAAAAATAATAACAAACGAAAGCCTGTAAAGATAGGTGTCCACTTCCCTGCTTTAGTACGTGGTAAAAGCACCGTTTTCTTGAATTGCGAACCACAATTCTGTTTGGAAAGGTCAGTACCAACAGAGCACACATAGACTTGGCAGTGTTTGCACATTCCTCTTTCACAGAACTGCTCAGACTGTCGGGGGTGTTGATGGCCTGCAGCCAGCAAGTCTTTCAGCAGATTTTCTCTGACCTTCTCTAAACAGTGTTTTGTTCCCCAAAAGTTTTACAACTCGTACAAGTTGTAAAAAACAACAACATATACGTTCATCCAGAACTGTGGAGTTAGAGCTACAGATAAAGGACGCGGTTTTGAATGTTATTCCGACGATATTCTTTTTTTGTTTAATTTGAGATTTGGATCCATTATATCTGAGCGCTAATTGATGATTTCAATTGCGAATTAAAATAAATTTGATCAAATTAATTCTTATTAGTTCTATCTGACATGTAGTTTTTAAGAACCCCTGAACAACGGTATTCGAAACTGAGTATAGTTGATTCGTCTCCAAAACACTATCTGGCCCGAAGGCTTCCACGAGAGGGAAGAATATATTTCCGTTTTCAAAGGTGTGAGCCTGGATAAAGAAACAGAGTATGATTTGGTTCAAGCAAGCACGAATCACCGATCAGGGGGCAGTTAGGTCAACAAGTGATCTTCTCCTTTTTTTCTTCTTAATTAGATCAATTGGAGTCTCTAAATTGCCTGTGTGTGTACAGTACGTCCTGCCCTGAACTAGCACTCTATCTGAGGTGTAGCTATGCCTTGCATTCATACACTACCTCCCAGCCCGGTTAGCATCCTGAGTTCCGAACCTTCCCCGGAATAAGACACTTCAGGACAACGGACGGAATTTCCAGACATGGGACGCTCTTCGAGACACGATTTCTTGCATTGCCAGACCTTGCAATTGACCTTATGAAACCCAATGCTTAAAACGTCCAGAAAGAAAGAATTTTAAGTTAAACGAAACACAAAAGCCTTTAATGAACATTAATGCCAGACAAAGTTTTCATGCAGTGCCGGGTGGTCTCTGGTTTAAGCAGGCTGAGGGGCTCTAGTGAAGTGTTGCTTTTGCTTTGTGCTTGGTTAGTTAGGCACTGAAAACTTTTAAAAATTAACTTGGCCTCAAAACGGGTTGTGTTACAGAGTCTGAAGCCAGATACACTCAGTTACCCCACAAGGGGCCGTGAAGCGATTTATATGGCTTTGGAAGAATACACAGTACTGCTCTACAGTGATGTAATTTAGTTGATCCCTAGCCTTGCTGTCCAGGTGGGAATTAGCTAACCAAAAAACTGCATATTTTGTATTGTCTGAGGATTCATGCTGTAACTCGCAATAGAAATGTAGACTCACCAGTTTAGGTTCCTGTTGGTTGCACAGGATTATACATTCTTCTTGACCTTACGGCAGCACCACCCCTATAACAATGCAGTTAACCTTTACAAAGCTTTCCAAGCCAACATGTCTTTACAGCGACTTTTAAAAAAGAGACCTTTGCTGTGAATGTTTCAAAGGTGACGATGGCAGTAGTTCTCAAGGAGTTCAAGTAGGCAGCTGCTTCAGCATGCGTGGGCTGATAAGGAACAAGTAAGGGTTTATTTCCTGCTGGAAAGAGAAGAAAAGAAACGCAACGTTTCTCGAAGAAGACTCCACAGCCGAAACGTTGTGTTTCTTCTTTTCTCTTCTCAGCAGGGAATGCACCTTACTGTTCCTTTGTAGTTCTCAAGGGCTGCACTCTGTGTCCGGGGGAACAAAACCACAGCACTGCAAAAGCAGGAATCAGCACTGCAAGCGGGCAACAGCTGTGCAGGTTATACAGTAGGAGTATGGTCCACCCGGAGTCCAGAAAGGTCTGACCCAACCCCAAACTCTCCAACACAACCGGCGAGCCCCAGG